ACAAACTTTACTGTTGAGTTTGAGGAAAATAACTCATTGCCTTTCTAGATGCTTTAATTATTAAGGGTAATAATTAATTCAAATTTAAAATATACACAAAACCTACAAATAACTGTTCCTATGTACACTATTACTCTTCTCATCAAGATAGAGTTAAACTGTCGGTTTTCTCATCAATGTTTTTTGAGAGTTTTACGTGTTTGTAGTCCAGAGTTCATAGATGAAGAAATATCCAAAATTTATGAAATAGCAAATGATCTAAAATAGCCAAAAAACGTAATTGATAAATCTTTTAAAATTGCTAGAAATACTTTTTACAATCCAAAAAGGGACAACCAACCTTATTCAACTAAAAATATGTTGGTTCTCCCTTACCATGAAAACTTGGTTGATATGCCTTCTCTTCTTAAGACTTTTAATATCAAAGTTGTATTTAAAAATCTTGATATAGTAAAAAAACTTTTGATAAAAAAATTCCCCCCAAAATGCGACGGATGTGTCTATAAGATTCCTTTAAAATTTGCGATAAAGTTTATTACGGTCAAACTGGTAAAAAATCTCGAGCTAAGATTAAAACAACATAAATACAGCATTAGAACTGGACAAGATTCCAATGCTCTATTCATTCATGTGAGAGATTTTAACCATCCAATTGATTTTTAAAAAGTTGAGAAAGTTGTATCAAGCAAGTCCATGGTCGACAGGAATATAATTGAATCTTGTTTCATAAAAAGCAGTTTTGACAATAATATGAATATTTCCTTTGGTTTACATAAATTAGATTAATTTATAAGAAACATAAGAAAGAAGGAACACTGCAACAGGCCTACTGGCCCAGGCTAGGCAGGTCCAATTCTTCAACCTGCTTAAGCCAATGCCTTGACCTAGTGAGGTCAGCAGTGCATCCTACCTAGTAGCACAAGCTAGTCAGGTCCAACTCACATCCACCCACACCCACTCATGTATTTATTCAACCTATTTTTAAAACTACACAAGGTCCTAGCGTCTATGACGGTACTCGGGAGTTTGTTCCACTGATCCACAACTCTATTACCAAACCAGTGTTTTCCTATATCCTTCCTGAATCTGAATTTTTCCAATTTAAAGCCAATGCTGCGAGCTCTGTCTATGTCAGATATTTTTAGCACGCTATTTACATCCCCTATATTGATTCCTGTTTTCCATTTATACATCTCGATCATATCCCCCCTAATTCTACGCCTTTCGAGAGAGTGCAGATTCAGGGCCTCAGTCTATCCTCACAGGGAAAATTTCTGATACATGGGATCATCTTCGTCATCCTCCTCTGTACGTTTTCCAGTGCATTTATATCCATTCTGTAATACGGTGACCAGAACTGTGCAGCATAGTCTAAATGAGACCTAACCAAAGATATATAGATTTTGAAGAACAAGCTCGGGACTTCTGTTATTTATACTTCCTTCCATTGATGTTTTTTTTTTTTATAGTTCCTTGATAATGTGAGAAGTCACGAAAGCGCTTCCCCCAATTTATTTTAATATTGCAGTTTTTCTGTTCATTAAGACTTAATTTTGTGAGGTCAAGCATAATTCTACTCTTCTGAGTTAATTTTCAAGAGTTTTTTAAAATAAAATTGAGTAATTGGTTTTTCTTATGGGGTCCTTTCTCTTATAGAGGAGCGTGTTGCTCTTAACCGAGTGTGCTACCTTATCATCCAATTTCCAGTCACTTCATTTAAACTTCAAAGTAACTAATGTCATTTCCACATTCTTTATATTATTTAGGGTTTTCCTCCTCTGGCCCATTTCTATTTCTGTTCTTCCTTCTCCTAGACTTTATATTCAATTTTTTTCCTCTCTTGGTTAGAGAATATGGTTACAGCAATAAATTTTTATCGCTAACTATAATTAAATAAATTTACATAAGAACATAAGAGAGAAGGAACACTGCAACAGGCCTACTGACCCATGCAGAGCAGGTCCATGTCCCCCCACGGATTAGATCAATGACCTCCCCCCGGATTAGCCCAATGAACCACCCAGTCTGGTCATCTCCACTCAAGGATGGAGCACTGCACCAGACCCAGCAGCACAAGCTAGTCAGGTCCAACTCACACCCACCCACAACCACTCATGTATTTATCTAACCTATTTTTAAAACTACACAACATTTTAGCCTCAATAACTGTACTCGGGAGTTTGTTCCACTCATCCACAACTCTATTACCAAACCAGTGCTTTCCTATATCCTTCCTGAATCTGAATTTTTCCAACTTGAAACCATTGCTGCGAGTCCTATTACAATATTTGTTTCTCTGTGGGTGTCGGCTTGATATGATCTTATTCCTCCCCTTATTCCTTCCCTAAATGGATGAATCTATTGTTCATCCATTTAGGATCATTTTTGTTTGATCTGATTTCCCTATTTGGAACATAATTTGACTGAGCAGCTAGAACTATGCCCTGGAAAGCGTCATATCGGCAACCATCACCACCTACCTGACTCTTAGTCAGGTCATTCCAGTTTCAGCCCACCTAAGTAAATTTTTCATAGGGCTGAAAAATTACTTAAGTGGGCTGAACTGGAATGACCTGACTAAGGGTCAGGTAGGTGGTGATGGTTGCCGATATGACGATTTCCAGGGCATAGTTCTAGCTGCTCAGTCAAATTATGTTCCAAATAGGGAAATCAGATCAAACAAAAATGATCCTAAATGGATGAACAATAGATTAAAATATCTGATTGGTCAAAAGAGAGGCATATATAGGCAAATCAAAAGAGGAGAGGGACAATTAAGAAATCGATATATTCAGTTAAAGATAGAAATAAAAAAGGGAATTAGAAAAGCAAAAAGAGATTATGTGGTTAAAGTTGCAAGAGAATCGAAGACTAACCCAAAAGGATTCTTTCAGGTATACAGAAGTAAGATCAGGGACAAGATAGGCCCACTCAAAAGTTCCTCGGGTCAGCTCACTGACAGTGATAAGGAAATGTGTAGAATTTTTAACACATACTTCCTCTCAGTTTTTACACAGGAGGATACCAGCGATATTCCAGAAACGATAAATTATGTAGAACAGGACGATAATAAACTGTGCACGATTAGGGTCACAAGTGACATGGTCCTTAGGCAAATAGATAAATTAAAATCTAACAAATCCCCAGGCCCTGATGAACTGTATGCAAGGGTTCTAAAGGAATGTAAAGAGGAGCTTAGCACACCTTGGCTAATCTTTTCAACATATCACTACAAACTGGCATGGTGCCAGATAAGTGGAAAATGGCAAATGTGATACCTATTTTCAAAACAGGTGACAGGTCCTTACCTTCGAACTATAGACCAATAAGCCTAACCTCCATAGTGGGAAAATTTATGGAATCAATAATTGCCGAAGCAGTTCGTAGCCACCTTGAAAAGAATAAATTAATCAACGAATCTCAGCATGGCTTTACAAAGGGGCGTTCCTGCCTTACAGATTTATAAACTTTTTTTCTCTAAGGTATTTGAGGAGGTAGATCATGGTAATGAATATGATATTGTGTATATGGACTTCAGTAAGGCTTTTGACAGGGTCCCACATCAGAGACTATTGAGGAAAATTAAGGCACATGGAATAGGAGGAGAAACTTTTTCCCTGGATAGAGGCATGGTTGACAATAGGCAGCAGAGAGTTTGCATAAATGGGGAGAAATCAGAGTGGGGAAGCGTCACGAGCGGTGTTCCACAGGGGTCAGTGTTGGGCCCCCTGCTGTTCACAATCTACATAAACGACATAGATGAGGGCATAAAGAGCGACATCAGCAAGTTTGCCGATGACACCAAAATAGGCCGTCGAATTCATTCTGACGAGGACATAGAGCACTCCAGGAAGATTTGAATAGACTGATGCAAGTGGTCGGAGAAGTGGCAGATGCAGTTTAATATAGACAAATGCAAAGTTCTAAATGTTGGACAGGACAATAACCATGCCACATATAAACTAAATAATGTAGATCTTAATATTATGGATTGCGAAAAAGATTTAGGAGTTCTGGTTAACAGTAATCTGAAACCAAGACAACAGTGCATAAGTCTTCGCAATAAAGCTACTAGAATCCTTGGCTTCATATCAAGAAGCATAAATAATAGGAGTCCTCAGGTTGTTCTTCAACTCTATACATCCTTGGTTAGGCCTCATTTAGATTATGCTGCACAGTTTTGGTCACCGTTTTACAGAATTTATATAAATGCTCTGGAAAATGTACAAAGGAGAATGACAAAGTTGATCCCATGTATCAGAAAACCTTCCCTATGGGATAGACTAAGGGCCCTGAATCTGTACTCTCTAGAAAGACGTAGAATTAAAGGGGGGATATGATTGAGGTGTATAAAGGGGAAGACAGGAATAAATAAAGGGATGTAAATAGTGTGCTGAAAATATCTAGCCTAGCAGGACTCGCAGCAATGGTTTTGGGTTGGAAAAAATTTTCAGATTCAGGAGATATGGGAAAGTACTGGTTTGGGTAATAGAGTTGTGGATGAGTGGAACAAACCCCCAAGTACAGTTATAGAGGCCAGAACGTTGTGTAGCTTAAAAATAGGTTGGATAAATACATGTGTGGATGTGGGTGGGTGTGAGTTGGACCTGATAACTTGTGCTACCAGGTCGGTTGCCGTGTTCCTCCCTTAAGTCAATGTGACCTGACCTGACTAGGTTGGGTGCATTGGCTTAAGCCGGTAGGAGACTTGGACCTGCCTCGCATGGGCCAGTAGGCCTGCTGCAGTGTTCCTTCGTTCTTATGTTCTTATGTTCTTTTGTTCTTATGTTGACTCTATCCATACATAATTGTCATCTAAGATTTCTCAAATTCCCTAACAATGACTAAGTCACACTCACTGGATTGTCAGTCCAGACACCTCATAAGTTCAATTTCAGCTAAGGAGAATTATGCACCACAAAATTCTAGGTTCATCCATCTGTTCAAAACACTAAAGTAATGTAATGATAAATTTATCTCTATCAGGGGAAAAGAAACAGTTTGTATTAATATTAATTAAATATTTGTTAATGAGTTTGACTGCTTCAAGTTACAAATTTTGTTACAATCTAAAACTTGGAGTTTTACTCTCCTTTTCCTTGAGTTGCATCTGATTTCTTCTCATTTCCAACTGCCGTAGGACACCAACGAATTTAATATATACAACCTAAAATAACCAACTAATCACTGTAATTATTCTGTCTCTACCATAGCTTTTCAAGCTCAACACATAGTGAAGCTAGTTTGGTCATGACTCTTCTTCAGTTCCCTACGATTAGTGATTTGGCTTTGCTGCAGAAAGTTCTGATACCAGTGGCTGAGGTCTCGGATGTGACGGTCGATGAAGACTCGCAGCTGGCACCAGAAGTCTTCCTGCGCCAGGCAGGTTCCTGCAGGATCTCCACCCCACTTAATTACGATGTCCTTAAGTTCCATAGTACCCTTACTAGAGATGGGTACTTTTATGTAGCTATATGGTCCATGGGCATTGTATGGCATTTCCAAAATGTGTCCAACCTTAGGATAAATTATTGTGCGGCAATTGTTTTCTCTTCCATGTATCTTCATCCGTTGAGCGACAGCCTCAGCGGCATATCTGGTGCATAATTTATCATCATCACCAGCCACTAGGAAGAAAAATGTGTCATTTGAAGCTTTCTCACATTGTGGTATCAGCGGGTGGTCATGTCGGAATATTTCCTGCATCATCTTCTTCAGTCGTGTCTGATCAATATTTTCACCAACCATTATGTCAGGGTTATTTGTGTCTACACCTTTCCATATCTGCTGGCCTTTGTAGGTAAGTGTGGTCATACTAGCAATTAGCAGACCACCGATTGTGATGACTGCTTTTACCTTATCCAGGTGAATTCCCATAGCGAGGGCTGTGTCAGAACCTTTACTACTGCTGAGAACGGCACATCGGTCAGGTATGACCTCATCCTGAGCCAACAGAAATTCCATTGCTTCTTCGAAGTAATCCAGCTCTAGATTTTCCAGAGTTTTCGGCAAGTCATCATAGTCAAAGTAAGCCAGCGCCAGAGCTGCAAACCCTCTAGAAGCCAGAATTGCTGTGGGTAGATAAAAGTCCGTTAGAAACTATGAAAAATATTTTTTATTTATGTATATAAAATAGAGTGCTGACCATCCCATCACCTGCCACCAGCACGGCAGCGTGAATACGCTTAGTGCCAGTAAATTCTGAACATAGCATGTAATACGTGCCGTCATCTTGCTGACTGTTGTAGGGCCTGGGATCAGTATTTAACTCACGAAAGTATGCACAATTGCGGTAACTAGTGATATGGTTCTCGGACAAATAGAGAAATTAAAACCAAACAAATCCCCAGGCTCTGATGAACTGTTTGCAATGGTGTTAAAGGAATGTAGAGAGGAACTTAGTATACCTTTGGTTAATCTTTTCAACATATCACTACAAACTGGCATTGTGCCTTATAAGTGGAAAATGGCAAATGTAATAACTATTTACAAGGTAGGTGACGGGTCCTTAGCTTCGAACTATAGACCAATAAGCCTTGCCTCCATAGTGGGAAAATTTATGGAATCAATAATTGCCAAAGCAATTCGTAGCTATCTTGAAATGCATAAATTGATTAATGAATCTCAGCACGGTTTTACAAAGGGGCGCTCCTATCTTACGAATTTACTAACTTTCTTCACTAAGGTGTTTGAGGAGGTAGATTGTGGTATTGAATATGATATTGTGTACATGGACTTCAGCATGGCTTTCGATAGAGTTCCACATCAGAGACTGTTGAGGAAACTTAAGGCACACGGAATAGGAGGAGAAATTTTTTTCCTTGGTAGAAGCATGGTTGACAAATAGGCAGCAGAGACTTTGCATAAATGGGAGGAATCAGAATGGGGGCACGTCACAAGTGGTGTTCCACAGGGGTCAGTGTTGGGCCCGTTGTTGTTCGCAATCTACATAAACGACATAGATGAGGGAATAAATAGCGACATAAGCAAATTTGCTGATGACATCAAAATAGGCAGTCCAGTTAATTCTAATGAGGATATTAGAGCACTCCAGGATGATTTGAAAAGACTCATGCAATGGTCGGAGATGTGACAGATGCAGTTTAATATAGACAAATGCAAAGTTCTAAATGTTGGACAGGAAAATAACCGTGCCACATATAAACTAAATAATGTAGATCTTAATATTACGAATTGTGAAAAGGATTTAGCAGTTCTGGTTAACAGTAATCTAAAACCAAGACAACAGTGCATTAGTGTTCGCAATAAAGCTTGCAGAATCCTTGGCTTCATATCAAGAAGTATAAATAATACAAGTCATCATCTTCAAATCAGTATATCTTTGGTTAGGCCTCATTTAGACTATGCTGCGCAGTTTTGGTCACCGTATTACAGAATAAGAACATAAGAACATAAGAACGAAGGAACACTGCAGAAGGCCTACTGGCCCATGCGAGGCAGGTCAAAGTCTCCTACCGGCTTAAGCCAATGCACCCAACCTAGTCAGGTCAGGTCACATTGACTTAGGGAGGAACACGGCAACTGACTGGTAGCACAAGCTATCAGGTCCAACTCACACTCACCCACATCCACTCATGTATTTATCCAACCTATTTTTAAAGCTACACAACGTTCTGGCCTCTATAACTGTACTCGGGAGTTTTGTTCCACTCATCCACAACTCTATTACCAAACCAGTACTTTCCTATATCTTTCCTGAATCTGAATTTTTCCAACTTAAAACCATTGCTGCGAGTCCTGTCTAGGCTAGATATTTCAGCACACTATTTACATCCCCTTTTTTTTATTTTTGTCTTCCTTTTATACACCTCAATCATATCCCCCCTAATTCTACGTCTTTCTAGAGAGTACAGATTCAGGGCCCTTAGTCTACCCTCATAGGGAAGGTTTCTGATACATGGGATCAACTTTGTCATCCTCCTTTGTACATTTTCCAGAGAATTTATATCCATTCTGTAATACGGTGACCAAAACTGTGCAGCATAGTCTAAATGAGGCCTAACCAAGGATGTATATTGTTGAAGAACAACCTGAGGACTCCTATTATTTATGCTTCTTGATATGAAGCCAAGGATTCTATTAGCTTTATTGCGAACACTTATGCACTGTTGTCTTGGTTTCAGATTACTGCTAACCAGAACTCCTAAATCTTTTTCGCAATCCGTAATATTAAGATCTACATTATTTAGTTTATATGTGGCATGGTTATTGTCCTGTCCAACATTTAGGACTTTGCATTTGTCTATATAAACTGCATCTGCCACTTCCCGACCACTGCATCAGTCTATTCAAATCTTCCTGGAGTGCTCTAATGTCCTCGTCAGAATGAATTCGACGGCCTATTTTGGTGTCCATCGGCAAACTTGCCGATGTCGCTCTTTATGCCCTCATCTATTTCGTTTATGTAGACTGTGAACAGCAGGGGCCCAACACTGACCCCTGTGGAACACCGCTCGTGACGCTTCCCCGTTCTGATTTTCTCCCCATTTATGCAAACTCTCTGCTGCCTATTTGTCAACCATGCCTCTATCCAGGAAAAAGTTTCTCCTCCTATTCCATGTGCCTTAATTTTCCTCAATAGTCTCTGATGTGGGACCCTGTCAAAAGCCTTACTGAAGTCCATATACACAATATCATATTCATTACCATGATCTAACCTCCTCAAATACCTTAGTGAAAAAAGTTAATAAATTCGTAAGGCAGGAACGCCCCTTTGTAAAACCATGCTGAGATTCGTTGATTAATTTATGCTTTTCAGGGTGGCTACGAACTGTCTAGGCAATTATTGATTCCATAAATTTTCCCACTATGGAGGTTAGGCTTATTGGTCTATAGTTCGAAGCTAAGGACCTGTCACCTGTTTTGAAAATAGGTATCACATTTGCCATTTTCCACTTATCTGGCACCATGCCAGTTTGTAGTGATATGTTGAAAAGATTAGCCAAAGGTGTGCTAAGCTCCTCTTTACATTCCTTTAGAACCCTTGCATACAGTTCATCAGGGCCTGGGGATTTGTTAGGTTTTAATTTATCTATTTGCCTAAGGATCATGTCACTTGTGACCCTAATCGTGCACAGTTTATTATCGTCCTGTTCTACATAATTTATTATTACTGGAATATCGCTGTATCCTCCTGTGTAAAAACTGAGAGGAAGTATGTGTTAAAAAATTCTACACATTTCCTTATCACTGTCAGTGAGCTGACCCGAGGAACTTTTGAGTGGGCCTATCTTGTCCCTGATCTTACTTCTGTATACCTGAAAGAATCCTTTTGGGTTAGTCTTCGATTCCTTGCAACTTTAACCTCATAATCTCTTTTTGCTTTTCTAATTCCCTTTTTTATTTCTCTCTTTAACTGAATATATCGATTTCTTAATTGCCCCTCTCCTCTTTTGATTTGCCTATATATGCCTCTTTTTTGACCAATCAGATATTTTAATCTATTGTTCATCCGTTTAGGATCATTTTTGTTTGATCTGATTTCCCTATTTGGAACATAATTTGACTGAGTAGCTAGAACTATGCCCTGGAAGGCATCATATCGGCAACCATCACCACCTACCTGACCCTTAGTCAGGTCACTCCAGTTCAGCCCACCTAAGTAATTTTTCAGTCCTATGAAATCAGCCAAGCGAAAATCAGGGACGGAGACTTGATTGCCATTGTTAGGGGAATTCCATGATATATTAAAACTGAGTTATTTGTGATCACTTTCCCCAAGCTCATCATTAACCTCAAGATTATTAATTAGTGTTTCCCTACTGGCAAGAACCAAGTCAAGGAGGTTATTTCTTCTAGTTGGCTCTGTCACAAACTGTTTTAAAAAACAATCCTGGATCGTATCAAGAAAGTCACCTGATTCTAAATTTCCTGTCAAATTGCTCCAGTCAATCTGTCTATAGTTGAAATCTCCCATTAGCACAACATTTTCGTATGTAGATGCCTTACAAATTTCGTCCCATAGAAGTTTACTGCACTCCCTTTCAAGATTTGGGGCCCTGTAAATCACACCCAAAATTAGTTTTTTCTCGGCCCTCGAGAAGCTGTAACCAAAACAGATTCAGTGGCTGACGCTTCTACTTTTATATCTTGTCTAACACAACAATTTAAATTGTCTCTGACACACATCGCTACTCCACCACCCTTCCTGTTGACCCTGTCAGTGTGGAATAATTTATACCTTGTATGTGACATTTAGAGGGCATCTCTCTATCTTTCAGATTGAGCCAGGTCTCTGTTATAGCAATAATATCTATGTTTCCTGCACTTGCAATTAATCTTAGCTCATCTATCTTATTTCTTACACTCCTGCTATTAGTATAGTAAACCTTAAGGGAGCTAGTCCCTTGCTGTCCTCTGCTGTCCCCCTTTGTTTGCTGACCTGATCTATTGTCTTTATTTATAACTTCATGCTGAATGCCTTTTATACATTTACTGATTCCAACCCTAGTGTTGCAACCTGTTTTTTCCCACACACACCCATACCTCTATCTTCTATCAGTTTAAAATCATAGGCATTTCACCAAGGCCTTCTCAATTGAGTTTGCAAGTGCTACCAACCCCAGCCCCAGAGAGATGTACCCCATCCCTTGCATACATACATGTTTGCCATAAAAGTTGTTCCAGTTGTCAATGAATGGGATTGCAAGTTCCTTGCAGTATCTGTCTAGCCAGCAATTTACACAATTGCCCTAGACAACCATTCATTTCCTACTCCCCTTCTAGGCAAGATGCTACATATGATTGGGACCCCTCCCTTAGACTTAATGAAATCTATAGCTGACCTGTACTTACCTAGCAGCTCTTCTCTCCTACCCTTCCCAATATTATTTCCACCAGCACTGAGGCAAATAATGGGCTTGTTCCATACCTGACATGATATTATCCAGCCTGTTAACTATGTCCCCAACACCAGCTCCAGGGAAGCACACTCTATCTCTCATCTTCTTATTCTATTACAAAAGCACGGTCAATATATCTTACCTGAGAGTCACCAACCACAAGAATGCGCTTACCTCTGTTAGCAGGGCAGTAGTACCCTTACCTTCACTGGCCACTGAAGTACATTCATCCTGAAGAACAGAGAAGCGATTTCCTACCTTCAGATCTTCACTCTTAACTTTCCTTATTCTGATTCTCCTTCCCATTACTGGTTACCACTCGCCACTTGTAGCAGGTGCTGGACTGCACCTCACTGCTGGTAGCCGATGCTACCTCCCCACCTACAGCCTCCTCACAGCGAGAGACAGACTGCACCTCACTGCTAGAAGGCTCATTCCCCACAACTCCAGCCACCTCACACTCTCTCCCAGACCCATTGAG